ACAACGATTTCTGCTGTTCTGATGTCAGCTGCAAATGTGAATGAATGGCAGAAGAAAATCTTTCCTCATGCAAATTGAATTTTTAGACTCTCCGTGTTCGATTTTCCTGTTTATTTACAAGATGATACCATCGAACTGTTATATAAATGCAATTTCACACTCGTCGCAGTGCGATATGTACAACACACACCTCCCACCAGTGCCAATATAAAACCAAATCGCACAGCTACTTGTGGGATATTGCTCCTATATGTAAATATACAGTATATATGTTCTTGCTATCAACGTTAACTTCTTAATGATTGTTATTAATTATTTTATGTGTTAATTAATGTAAAAAATTCAATACTGCAGTTAACTAACACATGTACAATATGAATCCATACCGATCGCTTATTAATATACTGTACCTATACTATAACTTTTTGTATCATTTGAAACATTTTCTAAAAATGGCTGCATATTGGGATCAGTGGCGCCCCCAGAAAAATTTCTTAGGGGTGGCCAAGTAAGGCCACAACAAATCTTGGGGTGGCACACAAAAAATTATGAATTGTGTATATATTGTGAATAAGGAGTAATGTTATATTTTTGTTTTTGGTAAAATAAATAATGTTGTTTTAATGAAATCCAATAATTACTCTTGAAATATTGTAATTTATTCCGCAAGTACAAGTGCAAACCAAATAAAAATCAATATTTAGTCTAAAACCTCTTTCAGGTAAGTTAATTCTTGTACAACATACAATATATGCCATGTCTAACATTAATGAAGATTAATGAATGAATTAATAAACCAAACAAATGAACAAACTGTACAAAAGGCATTACTACAGTATGTACACACGCTTACTATACATACCCCAATATAATTTATCCATGCTCCTTTGTGAGCCTTATTTAATACATATTCCTGTACCTATTTGCAAAATACACCCACAAAATCATTAGGATTTTTGGCCCTTTTAAGTCAACCAGCAAAATATTGTAGTTGCTAAGTAAACTAGATTTTGAAAAGCAGATTTCAAAATGCATCTATTTATTTATTTTGGATTTGTGGTTTTTTATAAGATAAAACACAACTTTTTCATTTCAAAAATAATAATTTCTTAATAAAAAGTGTGCAATCTCAGTGAATCAGCTTCATCAGTGGCGCTGATCAATCCACAATAATTTAGGCTGCATTTTATTTATTCATTTATTTATTGAAGTATTGTAAATTTAAGTAAATGCATTTAAATTATTAATATCAGCAACTATCATATTGGGGTGGCCACAGGGGTGGCCAGAGTTTACACAAGGGTGGCCGTGGCCACCCCTGGCCACCCCTTGGGGGCGCCCCAATTTGGGATAGAGAAAAGTGCAGGCTACAAATAGAAAAATTTCGATACAGTTAAAGATTGTGGATCCAGTTTATTACATGATGTCTCAAATACTGCATTGCAAAAACATTTCCCAGGACAGAAAGGGGGCAACGACGACATCCTGTGAAATAAACAACGCAGGAAGAAAGCGGCAGAGAAAAGCGAAACAGACTTGAGAAGCAGTGATGCAGAAGTCTTTGAAAGACAAACAGTGGCCTCTGTAAATCACCCCAGAGAAACAGTCTGCTTGACCCTGACATCAAATCCTCCACTTGTGAATGGCAAATGAAAACCTCAGTAACACAAGCAGGTCTAGGAAAGATAACACTGGTCTGGAGACCCAAACAAAAACAAAAGGGTTATGTTATCACCCTCTCATATCACGACAGCTTTGTGTGACCTACTGAGGGTGACCCTAATTTATTCAGCAGTTGCCGTCTATGACTGACGAGCAACCAGAAAACATGAAGAGACAGAAATTAGTACATTTCCTAATTTGAAAATGTTTTATTTAAAAATTGTATGAAATTTATTTTATTTGAAACATTTTTACATTTTATTTATTCAAAATTTACAACAAAAATGTTTCATTATTATTATTATTATTTTTAAAACATAAAATTCCACTTTCATAGGGTTGAACACCAGTATAAAAATAATACAAAGTTATTGCCTGTTGGCATTTTACAATAATGATCCATTACTTAATGGTAAAGTAATAATAACATGAACAAACTGTGAATAAGACATCTATTGGAATATTTATTCATCTTTGTTCACATTAGCTAAGTTCAAAAACAAATTCATGTTAACTCGCAGTGCATTAACTATTGTTAACAAGCTAAAGCTTTGGATTTTAATAAATCATTAGTAAATGTTGAAATATGATTATTTAATGCTGAACATTTGCAGTACATGCATTTGTACAATGCACATTCTTAACTCGCACTTTAAATACTTTTACAAATGGAAAATCTTTGTGTGTTACCAATATGTAACATGTAAGTGATAAATTTAATAATATGTTTCATTATTGTTAACTAAACCTAAAATCATCAAATCATTTTTAAATCGAATCGTTTTCCTTTTATAGGCAATTTTCTACATGTATTACATTTTTAATTTCCCATGCAGGCAACCAACCAAATACAAGATTTTAAGAAAGAAAAAAGGAATTGATTTATTTCCTGTCGCATGAGGCATTTAGCTTCCTAACTTTAATTCCAGGATGCAAAATGGAGGCAAACCCTGCCAAATAAAGGCAATTTTCACGTTACTAAAAATATTTTTTGTTCACAAATATATATAAACATAAGCATGAAGGTCTTCAGATTCATCCAAACGAAACAAATCTTTCAAGAGATTATAGTTTTGTGTTTGTCAAATGTTCAAGCGGAACCTATAGTTGCCGGTGGGCAAATACTCTGTAAGTACATAAATCATGGGCAATTAGGGAATAATCTGTTAATAAGTTAATAAATCAATGTTATTGGCCTTGTTTAGTGTATTTTGCTTTCATAACACCCTATTTTAACTTATATCTTTACTTTAAAGTTTTTTATACACAATTTGATACACAGCAAAATAACTTCTCCTACTGGTCCCTCTCCCACAAAGATTTAAAATAATACAGAAAATAAAGAACTTCTGCAGTTTATAAGCAGAATCACTGAAGAAAAAGACAAAACTACAACCGAATTCAGTCACAACCTTAAGCCCTGCTGTCTTCAAAGACATGGGTATTGTCTAAATCGCAGTTTTTTCTACATGGATTGGCTGTTCGTCAACACACAAAGTATCAGTTCACTGAAATCCAAATGTTTGAAAACCCTTGTCAGGGTGAAAATTTTTAAAAGCACAGCAGGTTCTGTTTTTTTTTTTTAAATATGTTTATATATATAATATATGTGTATGTATGTATGTATGTTATATATATATATATATATATATATATATATATATATATATATATATATATATATATATATATATATCTATATATATATATATATATATATATATATATAAAAATATATAT